GTTTTTAAACGAATCCGCAGTCAAATGAACTGAACAAAGGACCAAGGTCTTATTGACACGGTCTGGCACTTTGTTTGGTTTCTGTGTAGACCTGCGTTTGCTGCTCTTGTCATTTACCTACTACGTGCACGAATCAGTGGGTGTGGCTAAACAGAAAGTGAAGTACAAGCAGGCGTGGATCTTCTGTTGAGGTGATGTTTAGCCACACTATTACGTCATAAAGTGGCACAATCCACAACCTGTCATTTTGGCACATCTGCTTCAATATAAGCTGTTTTTATACTAACGAGAAAGTTTTGAGTTCTGAAACTTACAGAATGTCTTTATCCCACAATGACCTCTTATTTGTCAAAAGATCAAGGGTTTTTGGGATTTGGGGATTTTGATTTCTCAGTTCATGACCCCTTTAAAATTCAGTCTGCTACTAATGAATTATAATTTTGTTCAAGTTATGGCCAATAACTGTTCATTTAATCACAATTAAAAATCCAATCTTGATAAATACACAAACAAAATGTGATAACCAATATAGTACAAATATATATTGTGCATCACAAGCCCTAGTAATCATTCAGTTTCATTATATGGAAATTTTGAACATTCTGTCTAACATCATCTTTTGTGTTCAATGGAAGAAGAAAAAAAAACAATATGGGGTTGAGACAATATGAAGAAGTGTAAATGATGACAGTTTTATGCTAAAACATTATGCTACATGAAAAATATTCTGTATGCAGGAGCAAAAAGACAAATTATTTCTCAGCTATCTGTGAATATGAAATCAAATAAATAAATAAATACATTCCTCCATCTAGATAAGCAATGACTGGAGAAAAAAGCCACACAGCAGAGAGCACGTGGACATCCACACATATAAAAGCACATTCACCAGACACGTGTCATTTACCAGATAAAAAGGATGAACTGCCCATTGTTTTACAGCCTCATGGGAACACACTCAAAATCTCATTCAGCTGAGAATATCGCTGAAGTCAGCTTAAATGCTGGAGTAAGACGTGCACACTCAAGTGCGATGCCTTAAGACAGATGCCACAGCTAATATAAAAATGCAAGTATCTTAAAACTGAGACAGATTATATGTATCGCCATCTCATTTCGAACCACTGAACTGCCAGTAACAGAGAGCATCAGGGTCGCTTCTCTAATGTGTGCTGAGACATGCTGTAAACACTGGAGGATCATGACGCTTTGCAGTTTTGCGGCAGCCTCTTGAGACTGTTTACTGAGGAGCGACGGTGAGCATAATGACACTGGCCACACTGCTTGACCCAGGAAATAAATCATCGGACAGCTGCGGCCAATCTAAATCTGTGCGCCGACAAATGGCAGAACATGGCGCTATGATGAGCGTAGAGGACGCCCAAAACACCTCATTTATTTCATTCAGGATATTGGATCAGTGTTTTTGTTTGTTTGTTTATAATTTACTGTAATGCCATTCCAGCTACCACTGCTATTTTCATGCCGAGAAACAAATGGTTAGGCTCAAATGTTACAAAATGTGAAAAGAAAAAAGAAAAAGAAAAAAAATTTACAAAATGATTTTGAGCTCATCATCGATGACAGATCTAAAACTAAATCTCACCTCCCTTCATTAAAAATCTTTTCACATGCATCAAACCAATGAGAGTCTATTAAAATATGCCTCAAAGTTATTAGACTCTAGAATAAGGAGCATATAAGGAGGATCTTTACCGGTTTGTTCAGTCAGTGTAGAACTGATCATGGCTATAAAGACAAAAAATGTGGCATGTTACTCAAAGCTCTGAAATAAGCAATTACATCAATATAACATTTCATGGCATTATTTACTCTACATATTTTCACTTATGTCATTCCAATTATTTCATTCAATGGTACACATAAGGCAGAATTTCCACATTGTATTGCACATGCCAAATATGGGCTGCTTTATGGGATTTTTGTCCTTTCTTATCATTATATAGAAAATAGCTACATTTACTTATGCATTTGGCAGATGGGTTTTTCCAATGTGACTTAGATTGCAATCAAGCTAAAGATTTTTTCAATTAATTCATTTCCTGGGAATCAAAACCATGACTTGGGCGTAGTTGGCACCATACTCTGCTGTTTGAGCTAGAGGAAGCTAAACAAAGACTCTTCTAAATCCTATTTTTCTTACTTACTTGAGTTTTATGAGAATAAACAGCTCCCTGTCAGATTTTGTTAACTAAAAGTACTACTAAAAAATTGTGTTAATTGAAACAAAGCTGAAGTGAAGTATAAATATTAGCTGAAAAACCTAAACTTAAAAAAAGTACAAAAAAAGATCTTTCATTAAATAAAAAAAAAAATGTTGTGTTGGCAACTAACCGAAAAGTTGAAGTACTGTAACTATACAAAAAGAAAAAAAATACAAATATCAAAAGCACATAACAAAATTAAACTTAAAATGAAAACTCAAAATATAAAAATAAAAGCTTTAAACAACATATTAATGAATAATATATATCATATAATTAATACTAATATAACACTGATCCTTGTAACTGCATTCTACAAAGAACAAATAATTTGTAAAATTACAAAAAAAGGCATGGACATCAACACACAGACTGCATAATAGAATGCATTAACACTAATAATGATTAGATGAGGTGTCACACACTGTACTGTAGGTTTGGCTGTGTTTCTTTCTTGCAAATTTCGAGGCTCAGGTAAAAGAACGGCTGCTGTAAACGGATAAAAGGCATAAAAGAAAGGATATACCTCTTTTCTTGAGAGTGGACCTGAGGGTACACATCAGTCCTGTCGTACAATGAACTTGTCAGATCGGAGGGACTGTGAAATTGAAAATATCAAAAGGTTTTGTCCAGTAACAAAAATGTGAAATTGAACACAAGCTGGAACACCCTGCAGCACACAAATCATTGGTCACAAACTGGAAAGCTGAGGAAATTGTTTATTTAGCAACTCTTTTTTTATAATGCTATTATAATTAAAGTGAACTGTGCAAATAAATGTACACAGAAGCAATTACTAAACAAGGCATGCACACCTACAAAGCATATAAGCATTTAAAAAGTGATAGCTAAATATTCTAAATAAAGTTGTTTACTCAATGGGCCAGTTTTTTTTTCTTTTTCGCTTATAAAGCTCTGACTTAATTCAGCAATTCACACTGCAATTCTATCGGGCTGTTTGATGACTGCGCATGATGACCTTTCACAGCGAACGGCAGTCCAAACATATGAGTCACTTCATAATGATATACCCAACTCTCATACTTATCACTCATGGATGAAGGTATACCAAACAAGATAATAAATGGCTGTTAACATTTTACCTCTCAACATGGTCTCTATTAATATGTAACTCCTTTGGGAAAGCTTTCAGATGCACCATCTTTGGTTAAAGTGGGTCATAATCAACAGGACCAAGAGTCAGTGCACACAGTTCTGTGATCTGTATTGATGGTTTATGGAGTATGTTTCAAATCTCCTGCTGATGTTTACATAGGCAATAAAACCAGAGGGGTTCTCGTCTACAAAAGAGGGTCTATGATCATGAACATTAGGGAACACTAAACAACAAGATATTTAAATGTTTAAATGTTCACAGAGTTTTAACCAGCTTTGTATTGCTCTAACTTTGGTGATGTATGTAAATGAATCTATACCAAGGTGTATGTAAACATTACCTATACCAAGATATCCCTGTTTATTTGTCATCCACTCCGCTGGATGATGCCAAACAAGTCATAATGCACTATTCTACCAAACTTTTTAAAAGCTCGGGCTTTTGTTAAAACTACAGATCGATTTTCCACATTTTTGCATTTCCACCCACCCACAGACAGTTGGAGCGATAGAGGGGTGGCAACAAAACCAAGTGCAATATGGGTGTTGAAGTTTTTGGCTAAAGGGAACACCACAATTTTCACTCAGAAATTGCTAGTACATAAATATTTATTATTTAAATATTTATTAGTGAAATTATGATTAAAAGGCTGATTTTTTTCTCTCTTTTTTTTAAAAAAAAGTACTCCAATTATCTGTGTTTTATTTACAACACTGATTTTTATTACAATGATTAAAAAATATTCTTCTGCATAGACAGGCAACATTATTAAAAGCCCATCTTGCCAACAGTAAATTCCCCCTTTAAAGAATAGTGAAAATTTGCTGAAACTACTCACCCTCAGGCCATCCAAGATATAAATGAGTTTGTTTCTTCATCTGAAAAGATTTGGATAAATGTAGCATTATATCACTTGCTCAACAATGGATCCTCTGCAGTAAATGGGTGCCGTCAGAATGAGAGTCCAAACAGCTGATAAAAACATCACAGTAATCCACACCACTCCAGTCCATCAATGAATGTCTTGTAAAACAAGAAGCTGAGTGTACACAAGAAACAAATGCATCATTATGGAGTTAACTTTAAACTGTCGCTTTGGCCAAAATAAGATTCCATAATCCATAATAATGTTTTAGCCAGTGAAAAAGTCCATTCCCTGTTGTCCTCTCAGATCAAAATCCACCAACATACAGGTGCATCTCAATAAATTAGAATGTCGTGATAAAAACAACTAACAACAGACACATTTTTAAAGCATTGCAAGCTACAGCACAACGAACTGAAATCAAAGTTAGGCTACAAGTAGCTTAAGTGTGCTGGATGTCTGCAATAATTCCGTCAGTGACGACTGCACAAAACGTGCAAACTAATGAAAACATTACACTTTAATTTAACGGTTACAAAATGATGAACAAATGTAGTTTAGGCATAGGTTTGTGCAACGCTGTAAAATATTTACCTTTTTTAAAATATCCCATTAAACCTGCTGAGATACAAGGAGCGTGAACTGAAATTCTCAGTTCCACTTGGTTCCACGCATGTCCGGGAACTCATGAATATTCATGTATGCTCCGCCCACTGAAACAGAAAATCTCGTAACACCGGCCTTCCGTCCGCCACGCCAGATTGAGCCCAGATGCTTTCCAATTAGTGTCAACTTCCCTACACGTCATAAATGGCTGATGAAGGCCTGCTGAAAACCTGCCAAGCGGCAAACACGTCATTGAGAGAACAAAATATTGCTCGTGTTATTAATAATTAAAAAAAAAAATAATAATAATAATAATAATAATCGAGTATGTCCAATGAAGGAGCAAAGAAGAAAGGTAAGGTACCTGGGGACAAAAAACCGACTAAACGGAAAGCAAAGAGGAGGGAAACTTATGCAGTGTATATCTACAAAGTTTTGAAGCAGGTGAGAAAGTTTTCATAAATAACAAAGCTGATCAAAGAACAATTACAAAACTTTGATTCCGAGTGTGTATTTCAAGTGGATGACATGCGTTTGACGCCGCATGCGGCGCGTTTGCGTTCGATTCGTGAATCATTCTTTTGAGTCGGATCTTTTCAGTGTATCGATCGAACCGATTCAAGGAACCGGTCTGAAAGAATCACTCGCCCTGCGTCTCAAAATGTTCTTACTATTCATTCTAAATAGTATGTGAGATTAGAATAAGTGTGTCCCAAAGCATAGTGTTGAAAATAGTATCCCAAAAGTCCCCGGATGGTGTACTATTTCAGGTTGATTTTTGAATTGTGGATCCGTACACACTCTAATGGCTAATATTGCCCACAATCCATTGTGTTTTGGTGAAGGATTCTGTCCAGAACTACGTTAAAAACACGTTAAAAACTACAAACATGGCGGATGTGCGCGACCGGTGGTTTAGAAAAAGGGGTTTGAGTTGCTAATATTCAATTTTAACCTGGAAAAAATATATATATTTAATGTTATCGGTGTTATATTTAATCTGCAACAGCAACAACTTTTAAATGCAGCATTATGCATAAAATATGAGCAGAGTTCTCCATGAAAGACCCGCGACTGTCAGATCAATGTGCTGCTACTTTTCTCTCCAATACGGTAGGAAGTTAAATGAAATGCAATGTGGAGGACGTGATAGTATCTCCCAAAGCTTGCCTACTCTTGACTAGTACACACTCCAAAGTGTGTACCCTTTTTTTTTTTTTTTTTTTTTTTTTTTTTCCCCCCCCCTATACATGACCTAAAAAAATACTCAAAGTGACTTTTTTTAAAACAAATTGTGTGTATACGTGTTCCTCCATAGGTTCATCCCGACACTGGTATCTCCAGCAGGGCGATGAGCATCATGAACTCGTTTGTTAATGATGTGTTCGAGCGCATCGCTACAGAGGCCTCACGGCTCGCTCACTATAACAAGAGGTCGACCATCACGAGCAGAGAGGTGCAGACCGCAGTCCGACTGCTGCTGCCCGGAGAACTCGCCAAACACGCCGTGTCAGAGGGCACCAAGGCCGTCACCAAATACACCAGCTCCAAGTGATCACCTGTGAGCTGTCCAAGAGCCGGAGGAGCCTTTCAGTTTAAAAAGTCATATGTAAAATGGGCCATGTTTGCAATCACTCGTCAATATTAATAAATGCACGCAAAAAAATTCAGTGCAACTGTTCATTATCCTGAATTAGGAAACGAGAACAGAAGAACACCGCAAAGAGGAGAGAATGAGCTTGATTGACCAATGACCACACCATATGTACAATGAATACCATGGTACTTACAGGTGCTTCTCAATAAATTAGAATGTCGTGGAAAAGTTCATTTATTTCAGTAATTCAAATCCAATTGTGAAACTCGTGTATTAAATAAGTTCCGTGCACACAGACTGAAGTAGTTTAAGTCTTTGGTTCTTTTAATTGTGGTGATTTTGGCTCACATTTAACAAAAACCCACCAATTCACTATCTCAACCAATTAGAATACTTCATAAGACCAATAAAAAAAAAAAAACATTTTTAGTGAATTGTTGGCCTTCTGGAAACTGTACATGTACTCAATTATTGGTAGGGGCTCCTTTTGCTTTAATTACTGACTCAATTCGGCGTGACATGGAGGTGATCAGTTTGTGGCACTGCTGAGGTGGTATGGAAGCCCAGGTTTCTTTGACAGTGGCCTTCAGCTGCACTTTTAATCTGCCCTGTCCTTAGAGGAGTGTTTCTACCCATGATGCAGTTGAACTGGTTTGCATTATGGATCTGGCTACAAGTTTGTCCTTTTAGTGGTGATGAAGTACAAACATGTCAGAACCAGTACTATTTCATTACCTCTCTATTTCACAGTTTATTACAGGACAATCATTTGCAAAACAAAACAAAAACAAAACTGAGAATTAGGGAGAAATATGCATAATTGTCATAAAAATAATTTTACAATACTACAACAAAGACAAATCTTAATGGTCCTAAAATAAGAATTTCTTTTCAGCAAAATATTATTTATTTATTAGATTTTTGGGCTGAAAATGCCTTGATGTATTATTTATTAAATTACACTGGACGACAAAAACAGTGTTTTTTTTAGTTTTTTTTTAGATTTTTCAAAACATCTACAGGTGTATCTCAATAAATTATGATGTCGTGGAAAAGTTAATTTATTTCAGTAGTTCAACTCAAATTGTGAAACTCGTGTACACAGACTGAAGTAGTTTAAGTCTTTGGTTCTTTTAATTGTGATGATTTTGGCTCACATTTAACAAAAACCCACCAATTCATTATCTCAACCAATTAGAATACTTCATAAGACCAATAAAAAAACATTTTTAGTGAATTGTTGGCCTTCTGGAAAGTATGTTCATTTACTGTACATGTACTCAATACTTGGTAGGGGCTCCTTTTGCTTTAATTACTGCCTCAATTCGGCGTGGCATGGAGGTGATCAGTTTGTGGCACTGCTGAGGTGGTATGGAATCCCAGGTTTCTTTGACAGTGGCCTTCAGCTCATCTGCATTTTTTGGTCTCTTGTTTCTCATTTTCCTCTTGACAATATCTCATAGATTCTCTGGGGTTCAGGTCTGGTGAGTTTGCTGGCCAGTCAAGCACACCAACATCATGGTCATTTAACCAACTTTTGGTGCTTTTGGCAGTGTGGGCAGGTGCCAAATCCTGCTGGAAAATGAAATCAGCATCTTCAAAAAGCTGGTCAGCAGAAGGAAGCATGAAGTGCTCCAAAATTTCTTGGTAAACGGGTGCAGTGACATTGGTTTTCAAAAACACAATGGACCAACACCAGCAGATGACATTGCACCCCAAATCATCACAGACTGTGGAAACTTAACATTGGACTTCAAGCAACTTGGGCTATGAGCTTCTCCACCCTTCCTCTAGACTCTAGGACCTTGGTTTCCAAATGAAATGCAAAACTTGCTCTCATCTGAAAAGAGGGCTTTGGACCACTGGGCAACAGTCCAGTTCTTCTTCTCCTTAGCCCAGGTAAGATGCCTCTGACGTTGTCTGTGGTTCAGGAGTGGTTTAACAAGAGGAATACGACAACTGTAGCCAAATTCCTTGACATGTCTGTGTGTGGTGGCTCTTGATGCCTTGGCCCCAGCCTCAGTCCATTCCTTGTGACGTTCACTCAAATTCTTGAATCGATTTGACAATCCTCATAAGGCTGCGGTTCTCTCGGTTGGTTGTGCATCTTTTTCTTCCACACTTTTTCCTTCCACTCAACTTTCTGTTAACATGCTTGGATACAGCACTCTGTGAACAGCCAGCTTCTTTGGCAATGAATGTTTGTGGCTTACCCTCCTTGTGAAGGGTGTCAATGATTGTCTTCTGGACAACTGTCAGATCAGCAGTTTTCCCCATGATTGTGTAGCCTAGTGAACCAAACTGAGAGACCATTTTGAAGCTGATTGGCATGTCACCATATTCTAATTTGTTGAGATAGTGAATTGGTGGGTTTTTGTTAAATGTGAGCCAAAATCATCACAATTAAAAGAACCAAAGACTTAAACTACTTCAGTCTGTGTGCATTGAATTTATTTAATACACAAGTTTCACAATTTGAGTTGAATTACTGAAATAAATGAACTTTTCCACGACATTCTAAACTATTGAGTTGCACCTGTATATGGTATATGTCCACAAACATGGGAACGCCATTCTGAGTTTTGTTAGTAAAATATGACTATTTAAAAAGTGTCCACCAGTGCCGTTACCATGGAGTTACTGAATTCAGTGAATACGTAAAATATAATGAATACATGAATGAAGTCATGAATTTACATAAATGTGAGTTGATACATATGATTCCTGATTTCAGATGTGTAATGAGGGTATAATTGGTTTAAATGTGATTTAGTGACCAAGGAAAGTCTGAGTTTCTCACTAAAGCTGCTTGTTCTATTAAATGTCTCTAATTTAATAAAGGGTTTTAGAGTTTATAGAATGCAGTTTGCAGTGTGTAATATCATGCAGATCAGGGCCCTCTAGGTCTGTGACTCTGCATTTACACCAAGCGATGTGCAGAAATCACTCCGCAATGTGTTTTTGCCACTAGATGGAGTCATTGTAACACTATTTAGATTGGAGCAGGAATATTTCGCAATCTTCACAGAATCTCATAATATTGACTTTTTCAGGAGGTAGTGAGTGAAATAGTCACAGATTAGGATGGAATGGAGCAACACTTTCATATACCACGTGAGTATGTTTCCCACACTGGGTTAACTATTTGTATGGGCAAATTAATACAAATATGTTGAATCTAATGAATAAACAACCTATGCAGCACAAATACAAAACCAAACAATTAGAAGTCTCTGTGTTCCAAACAAAAGAAACCTAAGCATATCACGGTGACTGAAAAATATGATTATTTTTATATGATTCTTAGAAGCAAAAGTATATTGCCTGCACCGCAAAATAAAATAAAAATGTGTGTGTGTATATAACAGCTAAATTATGCGTAGAGAAAAAAAACACAAATAGACATTTCATTCATTTTCATGTATATTCTGTTAAAAAACACATTCTGATTATATCTTTATGAATCAAAAATATATTATGTACATAGTATTATTATTATAATGTATAATATATATTTGAAAATATATGGCTTTTTGGTTGTTGTTGTTGTTTTTTAATCTGTAAGAGCCAAATTGCACTGTTTTATTATTTTATTATTATTGTTTATTATTAACTAAATATATAGGAAATATGCAAGCTACTGTTGCTTCAAACCAATCACACATGCCTAAGGTGTCTAGCAAATTTTAATTAATAACTTTTACATAGATGCTGACAAATTTTCAATTTTGGTGGAGTAATTGGATTTTCCAACATGACGCCCTGTGTCTGTGAAGCTTATTTATGGACATGAAACGATATTTATGGTGAAAGACACAAAGCTCGGGGTCGCACGCTTTGTGAGAGACACATGCGTTTGATAAACCAGAATAAGTAGCTTTAAATACAATTTTATTTTCATATTTAAAATGCTGAAATAATAACTTGTCCATTTTACACTCTAGTAGCTGACCAATGAAGTATTTCACAAGGGGGAAGCTTTGGTGAAAACAAATCATGCTTTGTCCTTCATTAATCAGGGAAGTCTGAGGAACACTGGGCCCCGACATGATGTTTCGTATTCCCAGCCCTCCCTCTCTGGCTCCTACGATAAGCCTTACTGATGATCTTATATATGCTAATGATGGCATGTCTATGGACATATTACAGCGAGGGTGATGGTGTCATTAATGACAATGTCTTAAGCGTTATCGTCATCATCACCATGTTCCCCTTGATCTTACGGTTTCCTCATAGATCCCCATGCGCTCATTTCATTTCTGCACACACAATCTCTCTCTCCCTCTCCCTCTCTCTCTTTTGGGTGGTATAAGCACATTACGGATGGGGACATTAGTAACTAATGCAGGCGCTGGGCCCCGCATTGTTTTGGTGCACAAGTACATCATTAGAAAATGTTCTACTTGGCAGGGAAGCGTGTATTAACTCAGCTCGCAATAAAATGAGGTTGTGATCAATTGTTAAAGTTATCGAGAGCTATTAGGTTGAAATATGACCCTCTCAATTGCCATAATGAAGAGGGTGCCCGATCGTACACAATCAACAGAGCAACATACACCGTGCATTGTGGGTTCCGGGCGCTCGACAGAACAACAGAAAGCAATTTTGCAGAAAGAAAATGCAAGCGTGTCGGCCTAACCTCATTACAAATTTCACCTCATTACTAAATTTCAATAATCTACTCAAAACGTTAGGACCAACCAGCTATAAAACAGAATTTCCAGCTTTTTTTGAGCAACGGGACAATGCGGCTATCATAAATGCCAGTCTCGTGAAGAATTATGTCTCATAATGCCAGCTAACTTTTGATGGCGGCGCCAACGTTGACTCACGATTTTGGCAAACTCGCTGCGTAAATTAATTTTATATAATATTCTCTACTGAGGCATATTGATGAGTCTTAGCCTTGGAAATTCAATTAATCCCCCAAAGTTAATGTTTCGGAACTGAACAGAGCCCAATCTTGAGGATAGCAAAGGAAGATGCTGTCTGGTACCACATTAAAGTTGCTGTTGTATTGTTAAAGCAACTCAAAATTATTACAACTTGTATATCAGCCTACAGCACCTTCTTTTATGACGATATACATGATGGAACAATTCAGAATAATGACTTTGTTAATAAAGTTATTTTAAAGATATATTAGTATATATTCTCACTAAACCAAATTTTGCTCATACTGCCACCCTAATACATTACTGTTCAAAAGTTTGGGGTCAGTAACTTTTTTTTAAAACAAATTAATACTTTTGTTAATCAAGGATGCATTAAAATGATCATAAGTGACATTACAGATATTTATAATGTTACTTAAGATTTCTATTTCAAATAAACACTGTTTTTGTGAACTTTCTCATTCAAACAATGTTGAAAAAGTATCAGTTTCCACAAAACAAAAAAAAACAAAAAAATTAGAAGCATATTAGAATGATTTCCAAAGGATCATGTGACTGGAGTAATTCAGCTTTTCTGTCACAGAAATCAGAATCAGAATCAGAATGAGCTTTATTGCCAGGTATGTTTAAACATACGAGGAAATTGTTTTCGTGACAGAAGCTTCCACAGTGTAACAGAATGAATTCTGTTCATTTATTTATTGAATTCTCTCAATTCTGTCATTTATTTATAAAACGTCATTTATAAATAAATGACATTTTATAATATATTAGAATAGAAAATAGTAATTTTAATTTGCAATAATATTTCACAATATTGCTGTTTTTACTGAATTTTTAAACAAATAAATGCAGCCCTGGTTGTAAATCTTATATTAGCCATCCCCTTTGTTTCATGTTGACATGAGTCTTAAACAGTGAGGAACCACCAGGTTATTCTTTAAGAAACAGTTCATGGTCATTTATGAGTGTGAAGGACTAACTGTATTTGCACCACTAGGACCACCTTCTCCACTGAAAGATTCGTGACTTCCTTGGAATTCAGCAGAAGTTCATCCAGGTCTCAAAACAGGATCATCATGACTATCTGCAACATCATCTGCTGTAGGTAAGTGGCCGGAAACTCCTGCATGAAGTACAGTAGATGTTCACTTTACTGAACAAACCACAAACTAATACTCTTGAAGGCTTCTTGATGTTCTTCGATCCATCAAAGTAGTGAGGAGGTAGCCCAGATGCATATTATAAACTCATTATGTGTATCATTTAAAAGGATGTACTCCAGCAGCAAAACAATCTTCCCATTCTCTGCCTCGCCTGTAATGTGTGTTCGCAAAGTCGCAACTTTTTGATGCCTTCAGTCAATGTGACAGCTATTACTGCATGGCAAAATGGAATAAATGTCATTTATATTCCTATTGGCAGGGTCATTAACATATGGATAAGACATTGTGAGTCAGTGTCTTTAGAAGAAACCGGAATTTCAAAATTTCTGGGGGGGAAAAAAAAGAGATGGCTGATCATCATTTAAGAAATTATATTCGTAATTATTGCATTATGATGCATTTTTTATATTGAGGAAACATACAAAGATAAAATGACGAGAGTAGAGAATGCATTTTAAATTCAAATGTAAAGTTCCTGATTTTGAATTGAACTGAGGTAGCAAACAAGATGAAGAATTGCAATTTGAATTTGATTGTAGAAATGAAGTTAAATTAAAAAATAAATAATTTAACTCATAAAAAAATAAAGAAACATTAACTAGAAAAGCTACAAAGTCTTATTTAAAAGTTTTGAAAATGATTTAAAATGCTTTGAAAGTTTAAAGGATAGATAGATAGATAGATAGATAGATAGATAGATAGATAGATAGATAGATAGATAGATACATAGATAGATAGAGCAGTATCATTATTTCAGTCTTCTAACATGCTGATTTGATGGTCCAATGAAAAGAGTGACAATTATTACATTTTGAATATTTCTGAAATAAAAACTGTATAAATAAATTATGAAATAACTCTGACAGATAGGTTGAAAAGCATTGCAAAAATCAAATGAATTCAAATGTTTTTAACGTCACTGACTTCGTAATTCATGAACACATAATATAATTATGAGTATATGAAGCACCTAATACAGTATATATTGATCTGAAAAGTATCCATAAATGCTGTTATTAAATACTAGCAAGGTTTCCCGCAGAGCTGACCTGTTTTGATATAAACAGCAAGTCACTGTAGCTGTTATATCCCACACGTGACTCTGTAAAAATAGTCCCGTTTGCACGTGGCCAAATTCCTACTCCGATATCAAAACAAGCCCAGAGAGCAGCAGCAGAGGGCCATTTAAAAGATCTCAGGCCTTTTAGTGTCTCGACCAAAATAATTCTAAGAAGCTAGTGTGAAGGCACAATCAGCTTCATGTCTAGAAGGAGTCTCATGTATAATCCAAGCTCTCTGCGCTCTTTAGAGCAGGAAAGGCACCAGATGAGACTGGCTGCCCCGGTCCTCAGTGGCTACCTGCTGAGGAAAGAAGCCAGGGGGACATCTTCGAGGCAGACCGTGGGAAACCCTCCGATGGTGTGCCAGGACCCTGTTGTCCAAAATGCCCTCTACACTGGAAATGTACAAGCCGTGAAAGAGATCTTCTCAAAAGGCTTTCCTTCAGACCTGGTCATCCAGCCTCAAGGAGGAGTCATGCGCTGGAGAGCAAATGGAAAAGTGAGAGGTAAGAACTCAAGTTGTTTGAGTTGAGTTTGACTGTCGTGATTACTTGAACTGATTACCTCTCGGATCTAGTTGGCCAGACAGCATCAAGTTTCTGGACCTTTCTAAAGGTCATGCCAGGCGGCCTTAAAATAGCCACTATATCTAAAAACAGGCAACAGACTAAGCAAATATATTCAGGGCAATCATCTACAACATTGTGCCCAGTCTTAAGACTAACCCAGGCAATCAAAGAAGAGGCTGATTCACACATGCTCCTCGCTTTACCTCACACATGGGGCCGAAGATTAAGTTTCGCAAACAAAAGAAATATCGCAGCGATGTAATCGCGACGGCTCAGGCGTCAGGACTTATCCTCCAGTTCTGGAATGCGCTTCTGGTCGGAGATGACCTCACTGTTATTAGTATCGTTGATGACCCAGAATATGCTTATCTCTCAGATGCCATATATGACACCAGCAACATAGAGGAGTGGAAGAACTTCAGGTTCAACTACAGAGGGCTAAGTATGTTACAGGGACACAAATAATGTGAAATTATGTTAAGATAGCTTGCTATACAAAACAGTTTTGCTGCTTGTTCAGTTTACTTAATTAAAATGAGCTAAAGCAACAGAATTTATGTTTTATCACAACTGAATACATAAAAATTAAGTTTGCTTAATTATTTTGTGTATTGTAGTTGTGTTGTGACTACATTAATCATTTTTGTTGCATTAACTAAAATGGCATGGCTTTATAGGGATGTATTATATAAAAATGTATTACTTATTATTTTTACTTATTATTATTATTTTTATTATATAAAAATATTACCATAAAATATTTTTGTTAATTAAAATAAAATAAACAAAAGAAACTTAAAATATATAATACATATACTTGTTGGCTCATTTTTAATTAGTAACTTTATGTATTAAAATAACAAAACTGAATATCTATACACTCAAAAAAAAATTTTTATTACAAAAAAAGGAATAAAAGAAAATACTAAATGACACAACAAAATTACTGAAACTTTTAATCTAGGCCTTTCACGCTGTTTAAAACTGATTTAATGTAATTTTGACCCTAGGTTTGACCTTAGATAGATAGATAGATAGATAGATAGATAGATAGATAGATACTTATGCTCACCAAGGCTGTATTTATTTGATCAAAAATACAGTAAAAACAGTAATATTGTGAAATATTATTACAACTCTTTCTATGCGAATATATTTTAAAATATAATTTATTCCTGTGATGCAAAGCTTAAAAAAAGAAAATACAAAATGAAACAACAAAATTACTAAAACTTTAAATCTAGACCTTTCACGCTGTTTAAAACTGATTCAATGTCATTTTTGACCCCAGGTTGAGGCAATTTTTAGGTTAAGACTAACTTCTCACTTGTAATTTTGAATGCAGTTTAGCATATTTTAGACTTCCTGAGCAGGTTATTAAAATTGTGATGCCAAATGTGTGTTGCTGGAATGTTACGGCTGCAGTGGTTCAACCACAATGATTGGCTGTCAATCATAAATTAGATAATGCAAATCTCATTAAATATTTATAGCTTTGTGTCAGTGCAAAAACTTTTATGCATTGTGTTTCAGGTTCTGAGGAAAACGACATTCCCTAGAATGATGAAGATGATTTTTTTTACAATGTTTCACACTTTTGAGGTAGATAGAATGATAAGACCATCTTATAAGTATGAAAATAAGAATATTAAACCAGGGTGAAATCTCAAACCTGACTAAAATTAATTACTAGCACAGAATATAATACAAAATGGCGTTAAACACGATTAAAATTGGTTAACGATTTTAAATTTAATTAATTTCTGTTCTCAAGGATCTTTATTGTCATGCACATTTAGTTGTGTCTGAGTATCCCATCAATGTATACATTCCTGTGCACGTACACAAGCACTCAAACTTTGTCACACTAGCACATCCTCATTTCCAGTATTTCCACGTCAGACTCACCTGCTGTCATAGTTATTTGTTCCCCTATGTGTTTCGGTTACACATAGATTGCTCTCTTCTTATTGCACCCACCCCGACTGTGTCTTTGAGGTTGTCTTGGGGTCTTTTTATGAGTTTGTGTTTATGTTTGTTCCCATGAAACTTACTGATACTGATCACAAAAATGAGCACTGCTTAGGAGACAAATGCCACTGCACTTTGAGTATGACATTACAGTCACACTGCATCCTGAATGATGAAAAACAACCACATATGGTTTGGATGTGGCTTGAAAAAAATTATTTCATTGAAATAAAGGTAAATAAATAAAAGTATACATTAAATTGCTGATTTTTCCTGCTCACTGGATGCCATCCAGGCTAAAATACCTTAAATCTTCAAACTGTCCAGGCCTGTTCATGATTTCCTGATTGAAAATGAAATAAAGCTTCAGACTAACTGTAGTATTGAATATCTGAATCTTCAGATAATCTCATAACTCTGCTCTTTTTTCAGGACTGTGGTCATTGACGTACGAACAAGAGCTGACCACGCCACTGCACATCACCGCTGGCCGGGGTTTCACCGAATGTCTGCGGCATCTCCTAATGCGGGGCGCTCGAGTGGACCTGGCACCTGGGGGCACCACTGCCCTGCATGAGGCCTGTGAGGAGTGCCAGCCCGAGTGTGTCAAGCTGTTGCTGCAGCACGGAGCCAATCCCAGCGCAACTAATGAAGACGGCCAGATGCCCCTGCACGTGTGCACAGAACTCGATTCACTTGAGTAAGTGCTTGTTCAGTATACAGTAATTACAGGAAATCCTGTGGTGAATTCTGTCATTTCAAATGACTGTCAGATTGACACTTGAAATGAAGGTACGCTACTGGACAAAAGTTTGGAATAATAAAGTTTTTTTATGTAAAAAAAAAAAAAAAGGATCTTGTGCTCAACAAGGCTGCATTTATTTGATCAAAGACAGTAATATTGTAAAATATTATTACAGTTTTAAATAGCTGTTTTCTATTTGAATATATATTTCACAATATAATTTATTCTGGTGATGTAAAGCTGAATTTTCAGCATCATTACTCTTCAGTGTCACATGATCCTTCAGAAATCAAATCAGATATGCAATGAATAAAAACTGAAAACGGTTGTGCTGTATAATATTTTTGTGAAAAACCATGATACATTTTTTTCAGGATTCTTTGATAAATAGAAAGTTTATTTCATTTATTTCAAGTAGAAATAACAGCGTTCATTTCATATCAAAACTTTGTGATATTACTTTAATGTCACTTTTGATCAATTTAATGCATCCTTGTTGAATAAACTAATTTATTGTCCGTTTTATTTACCCCGTCTTTTACCCAATCTTACCCCATCTTACCCCAAACTTTTGAATTACAGTGTATCATTGTTTTCTGCAAAAAATATGAAGCAGCACAACGGTTTTCAACTTTGAAAAGAATAAGAAATGTTTCTTGAGTGCTTAATCAGTATATTAGACTGATTTCTGAAGGATCATGTGACACTGAAGACTGGAGTAATGATGCTGAAAATTCAGCTTTGCATCACGGATATAAATTACATTTTAAAATATATTCTAATAGATAACAATATTACTGTTTTTACTGTATTTTCCAATCAAATAAATGCAGCCTTTGTGAGCATAAAAGACTTCTTTCAAAAAAATAAAAATAAAAAAACAATTATACCAGACTTTTGATCAGAAGTGTACTTGACTTTGATGAGTAAGTAATATCCTACAAAATGTATATCGCTTATGCAGAATGTAATAGAGCCAGACTGAAGTTCTTGACATGTTTTTCCAGGTGTGCCAAACATCTACTAGCATTCGGTGCTTTGATCAACGGTCAGAGCTTGGATGATAACGACACACCCCTTCATGTGGCGGCCCGCCATAGCCTTCCTGATCACATGGAGCTCTACTTACGACACGGAGCTGCACTTAACCTACAAAACGAGGAAGGAAACACAGCGCTGAACGCCGCCTGCTCCCAGCCGCAGGACTGCGCATCTCTGGAGCGCTACAGCCGTGTTTGCCACATGCTGGTATCTGCTGGGGCGGACATACATATCAGTGACGCGGACAAGCAGACTCCACTGCACATGGCGTGTAAGAACGCCATCCCTGACGTGGTGGATCTGCTGCTGAAGTATAAAGCCTTGGTCAACGAAATGGATTACGGCGGCGAAGCACCAATGCATAACATCCTGAAGGCGGTGGCCTACAAGACGGACCATGAGCCCGAGAGGATTGTACAGGCTCTTCTCAATTACGGATCCATCAGGGTGTGGCCTGGAGCTCTGCCCAAGGTCAGGATTGGACGAGAGAGCTTTCCATTCAAAGTCTCATTATATCCTTATACCTAGTCATGGAATTCTAATGTTCCATAAAAATTCTGAACCAGTCGTAATGCGAATAAAATCCTTATCTAATAGTCACATTCTTGCTGGATAAACTGAAATTTTTGGTCACACTTTATTTTAAGGTCCAATTCTCAATAACAAACCATTAACTATGACTTTTGCCTCAATAAACTCCTAATTTGCTGCTTATTAATAGTTAGTAAGGTAGTTGTTAAATTATGATTAGGGACGTAGAATATGGTCATGCAGAATGTGTGCTTTATAAGTACTAATAAACAGCCAGTATGTTAATAATAGGCATGCTACTAGTTAGTAGTGGTCCCTATACTAAAGTGTTACTAATTTTTATATTTTTCATATATTTATCTATATTTTATCCTTAATGTTCTTTGTTTCATTCTTATTTTGACTTATTGTTTAATTATCTAATCAGGACTGGTTCCAAATTATTTTATAATTCCGTTTAAATTCTGATCTTTCAAAATACACTACTATTTAAAATGTTTAAAAAAAAGATTTTTGTTCCGTTTTACTTTATTTTATTTATTTTTATTTATTTACTTAAAGGTGGGGTAAGCGATTTTTCAAAAACGCTTTAGAAAACTGATTTGGGCCGAATAGCATAACAAACTTGTAGCCAATCAGCTGTAAGGGGCGTGTCTACTCATAATGTGGAGGAGAGAGCGTTCAGTGCACGGGACGGACATTAGCTGATCCGAGCGACAGAAAGATAGAGATGGTGGATAAAAAACAAGAGGAAAACGTCTGCGGAACAAAAGAAGGCTTAAGGCAAGAAGTAGGTCCTGTGTAAATATCGGATCAGCTTTCCAGCACTGGTGAGAACTCAAGGAGCGGAAGGCCTGCGATCGGACGCCGAGGTTGCTTTGTTTCTTCTCGATAGGTGAGTAACACAGTGTCTGCGCCGCAACAGCTAAAGTCTGTCTAGTACACTGGAGTGTAGTACACTTCAAAGTGACCGTTGAAAATCATTTGAAATTTGTGTCAATACGTCATAAATAGAATGCAGCAGCAGTTTTCTGTCGGGGATTTGTCATGTCGTGCCACACCGCATCCAGTGTAGACCATAGATATGTATATATATATCTATGGTGTAGACAGCATCACTGATTATAATAAGTTCTATAGTATTTTGTCGCGCCGCGCCACTCGCGTCTGGTGTAGACACGGTATAACATTGGTTTTGCTTTGTTTGACAGAACTAATCGTTGCCTAGGTTGCGTATGTATGTGTGGGGCGGAGCTATCAAAATAGGGGCGAGACCCTTTTGGGGTAGGGGCGTGTTTGTTTTGATGATTTCAAATGTCAACATTGGCTACCAGAAATCACTTACCCCACCTTTAAGCAAAGTCAATTATTTTTTAACTTTCTATTCATCAAAGAATCCTGAAAATTGCATCAAGGTTTCCACAAATATATAAAGCAGCACAACTGTTTCCAACACTGATAATAATCAGAAATGTTTCTTGAGCAGCAAATCAGCATATTAGAATGATTTCTGAAGGATCATTACTGCAGTAATGATGCTGAAAATTCAGCTTTGCATCACAGGAATAGATTACATTTTAAAATATATTCAAATAGAAAACAATTTTATTGTACCATTTTTTTTATCAAATAAATGCAACCTTGGTGAGCATAAGAGATGACAAAAAAAAAAAAAGTATCTTACCAATGCCAGACTTTGAACAGTAGTGTATGCTATTTTTGACTTCTGACAATAAAGTGTCCTGACAAACAAAACAAAACGGCAATTCTTCATTTGCATTTGATTGTCAACAAATAAGTTGCCTATAGCAACCAAATTGCTAATTATGATGATGCTGTGCATTGCTAGGATATGTTTGGTGAGCATAAGAGATGACAAAAAAAAAAAAAGTATCTTACCAATGCCAGACTTTGAACAGTAGTGTTTGACTTCTAACAATAAAGTGTCCTGACAAACAAAACAAATCAAAACAAAACGGCAATTCTTCATTTGCATTTGATTGTCAACAAATAAGTTGCCTATAGCAACCAAATTGCTAATTATGATGATGCTGTGCATTGCTAGGATATGTTTTGCAGGTTTACAATTATTTTTCCTGTTTTGGTAAAAAAAAAAAAAACTTTTACTATCATATAAAGTAGGAATTTTAAATAATTTATGATTCAAAAAGTACATTTATTATTACCTCTCTGGGTGCCGCCATATCTGTGTGGCATCATACTCCATGTTTGAAGTTTTTTTTTCCAAGTTGGAAGTTCCCATTTTCCGAATTGAATGGAATGCAGCATGAAACCTAGAGAAAGAGTCCAGTGATGACTGGTAAACTGGATGTAGATGTCAGTGTATAGACAATTTAAATAATGAAATAGATTTGTGTATGAACACTGCTGGTAACAGCAAAAACATTCAAGTTCACCCAGAAATTAAAATGTTCATCATTTACTCACTTTCATGTCATTTCCAAACCATGTATGACTTACATTCTTCTGTGGAACACAAACTAATATATTTGAATTTTATAAATAAATGTATAAAATATAAATATAAAAAATAATATTTTTGTGTCTATACAATGAATCAATGTTGTTTGCACCCTATATTGACTTCCAAAATATCTACTTTTATGTTCCACATAAGAAAGAAAGTCATGGAAAGACATGAGAGTGAGTAAATGATGACAGAAATTATTTTTGGCTGAAATATATCTTTTAAGATCCAGTTGAATTGGAAACTAACCTTTCTGCCATTTGTAAGGAGCGAACCCACATCTCAAGAAGGCATCCATCTGCAATCTGTAAATTACAGTTTTCTTTAGCACAGATATTTATCCTATTGAACTAATATATAGAAATAAATGAACTCAAAACCATCATTAAAGTTCACCGGAAGCAGCACATATGATTCTTTATTTGTCACAAATATTTTTTATCTGAAATAATCACTTTCAGATTGATTTAGTTCTGTCTTTCAAAAGCGCACAGTTAAAAACACTTGATATCACGCATCCAACGAGTCCCACTTGTGCCAAATAAATTGCCTGAGTCTTAACGAGGCAAATGTTAATAGGAGATTAATTAGCAGTAATTGCAGAAATTCCCCACAATCCCCCAGAGGGGGGCCCAATCTGTTCATCAGCCCAAGTAGTTAATTATTCCATGCAATGTTCTCCCAAAAATACAACTTTCCACCTTTGACCTCCACAACACAGGTGGGGCTGTTGCACCAGGTGGAAACTGACAAAAAGCTGCTCATCTATGACCAGCTTCCCTCAACTGTTTGTTATTGCGAAAGACTGAGGATAGCGTTTCTTTATCATTTTAGTTACTAATAGCAAAGCAAGATCTGATTCACAGTGTAATCGGTTTCTGAAGAACATTGAATTTGGATCTGTTTTCAGAGATAAACTAGATTTGATTCTTATTTGATTTCACTTTAATGATATTTTTATTTAGCAATAAGGATGCATTAAATTGATTAAAAGTGGCAATAGAGACACAATGTTACAAAAGATTTCTGTTTCAAACACATGCTGCTCTTTTGAACTTTCTGTTCATCAGAGAATCCTGAAAAATTGCCTCTGTTTCAGTAAAAATATGAACAAGGAGCGAACCCACATCTCAAGAAGATCTGACAGATTTGTGTTGGAAAACTGTCCTGTCTTTACCGAAGAATTTTATAGGGAATCAATAAATGGAGGTGATGCTTATAATGCCAATCTGTGAGTGAGATTTTTTATGTAAAATGTGTTTTATTATTACTGAAATCTATAATAATGCATTTGGAAAGAGGATAAAAGGATGTTTATGAAGATTAAAACAGGAGGAATCTGTATATAAAGTTGATATAGCCTATCCAGTCAGTGCAACACACATTCATTGTTACATTAACCACCACACCGGGGCGCCATGGAGCTCAAGTGGAATCTGAATTCCTATTGAAAGTTCTCAACCAAATCACTGATAGGATTCCATGCAAAATTGAATGGAAAATATTTAAACGTAACATCCCGAATAATTTAATGTTTTCATTTTCTTGTAAAATAAAATGTTTAAAATGTATTTTTACTAATTTACTTAAGGATTAATATATGCACTACATTCAAATCATACTGATTAGTGGGCCAGCTACAAATGCATTTAAGTGTTTTCCAGTAAATATGTTCAAACACTGATCTAAATTATATAAAAAGCATTCTTCAGGAAGGCAAGGTTAGATTATTCTATTGTATTTTATCAAAGACTGAAATCTATAATAATGCATTTGGAAAGAGGATAAAAGGATGTTTATGAAGATTAAAACAGGAGGAATCTGTATATAAAGTTGATATAGCCTATCCAGTCAGTGCAACACACATTCATTGTTACATTAACCACCACACCGGGGCGCCATGGAGCTCAAGTGGAATCTGAATTCCTATTGAAAGTTCTCAACCAAATCACTGATAGGATTCCATGCAAAATTGAATGGAAAATATTTAAAAGTAACATCCCGAATAATTTAATGTTTTCATTTTCTTGTAAAATAAAATGTTTAAAATGTATTTTTACTGATGTAACAACTTAATTGTAGCTAATTTACTTAAGGATTAATATATGCACTACATTCAAATCATACTGATTAGTGGGCCAGCTACAAATGCATTTAAGTGTTTTCCAGTAAATATGTTCAAACACTGATCTAAATTATATAAAAAGCATTCTTCAGGAAGGCAAGGTTAGATTATTCTATTGTATTTTATCAAATTGTCCATTTTTAAGTGCTTGGTTTGATTGATTTGCTTGTCTACACTGAGGTTTTCCTTACAATTTCCTTTTTTACGTCATATTTTATATTAACAGAGGACAAAAGAAAACTTGCTGAAACATTACAATTCAGTGATTTGACATTCACATTCAACATGTTTAAGGTCATGATTGGACAAGCAGGTATCCATTGCAAAAAGGGGTTTTCTCTGTCAGTGAATGCTGATTTAGATGTAGAAGACAATTTAGATCATGAACATGATTTATATGGATTATTATGAAAACTACTGATTACATTATTTTCAAAATGTTAAG